TTCTCCGCGGGTTATCCTAACGGTTTGTGGTAAAAACTTAACAAGCGATTTTAGTTGAAAAAGTGAGCAACTTCTTTCACTTACAACTCTCGAACAAAATAATCAAGGATGTTCGTATTGGAATCTGATAGACCATTAATTCGTCGCTTTGCTCACGAAGTGACAAAAACCTCGAAAATCGATAATTATTCGATTTTCAGTTTTACTAGCCATTTTATTATAGTTGTCTCAAGGAACAATTTGACCAAGTTTGAAGGCAAAATATTCTTTACTTTCTTAATTATTGTAAACAACAATTGACAAAAAGCCTTAAATCGGTGATTTTCATTTTTACGAAGTGTAAAAAAGAGTAAATTATTCTCACGAAGTGGCAAAAAGTCACCTCGTGAGCAGGGGGCCAGAGGAATTATACATTGGTCAACACGCGGCAGGGTGGGAGCATACACGCGCGCGTGAACGATGTCTAAAAAGAACAGACGCGCGCGCGCTCAACTGTCGTGACGCGCAAAAGTAACAAGTTTGTTGCGTCGGGAAAAAGTACAAATAAGTAAAGCCTCCACGATTCATGATCCCATCAAGTGACAAAAACTGTGTACAAAGTAATTGGCAAAATATGGGAGTCAAAGTATTGATGTTCTCACGAAGTGCAAAAAAGTTTTATTAATGATTTACGTTTAATTACTCACTATTTTTAACAAACAACTATGAATTAACAAAGAGCGAATCATATCCTATCGGACAATGCAAAAATTTTCGAATTCTGTTACTGCAAAGTGGTCGAGAATGTCTGTTGAAAAAATAACTTCAAATGCGATTATCTCAGGATGAACTTTTGTCACATTTTTTTTGGTCGTGAACGTGAAGTGAAAATGCCCTCTAAGATGGCCGCTATACGCATAAGGGCTATAGAACAGGTTGCAAATTACGGTGACGTACACCTGCGCAGACTGCAGGCGCGGATCCAGGGGGAGGGTTTTGGGTGTCGAAACCCCCTCCCAGCTCTGTCAAATCCGTGAAAAGCACCTTTGTGTCCCATTTAATCTTATTTTCAATTAACATTTTGCCATTTTTAAGGGCACTTTGGTGCCTTTTTGCAAGTTTTTGGTTTGTGATGATGTCATTCCAGGCAAACAAAATTGTTCCCGAATCCCGAACTATATACCCTATTTTTGAAACGGCACACAATCGGATTATCTTTCTTAATGCCTTATATGTACAATAATAGTCTTAAAACATTATGTTATGAACAGCGCCACAAAGTGTTAAATGATATCAACACCCCCATCCCCCCACCCCTTTCCGCCCGACTTAAAGACCACCGAGGTCATATAAGTTTCGGAAGTTTTGGGCCTCCTCCCCCAGGCGTCGACACAGTTTAGTGCCACTGATTACAAATTTTCAACCAGATATTGATCGAGGTAGCGCCATCATCAGCAGACTGACCTGCAGAAAACCAAAATTACGGTCTCTCAGAAACAAAGCTAACGGCTACTGGGGAAAGTAGCCTGGCTTCAAAACCTACTTTTCAAGCTTGATTTAGCAAGGGCATATGAGGTAGTAATATCGCTGCGTTTGAATAAAAATAGAACAGGCGGTAATACAGAGACGCCGAGCTAGTACCTGCGCGGACTGGGGCAGGTAGCCCAAATACACCGATGTCGCATAAAAATGCCAAAAATAGTAGAGAAGATTGAGCAGCATCGCAGCAAAATCGATTGGCCGGAAAATTAGATAATAATTGCGGACAGCAAGGAAGCGATGTTTTTTTTTTGCATTTTTTTTTTGGAGGGGGGTTCCGCCGGCTCCCCAGAATGTAGAAGTGCGAAGAAATAAGAAAGCTTAAGTTTGAAACACGTACTTGAATATATGCAATAAAGTATCAACTGAATCCGGACACCTTTATTGGGCGATCGGGCACAATCTGATCACTCTTTTAGAATTGTTCGAATAAACCTTTGTTTCTCTCTTTCCGTCTTTCTCTCTTTCTTTTTGATTCCGGACAATAATTCTCCGCGGGTTATCCTAACGGTTTGTGGTAAAAACTTAACAAGCGATTTTAGTTGAAAAAGTGAGCAACTTCTTTCACTTACAACTCTCGAACAAAATAATCAAGGATGTTCGTATTGGAATCTGATAGACCATTAATTCGTCGCTTTGCTCACGAAGTGACAAAAACCTCGAAAATCGATAATTATTCGATTTTCAGTTTTACTAGCCATTTTATTATAGTTGTCTCAAGGAACAATTTGACCAAGTTTGAAGGCAAAATATTCTTTACTTTCTTAATTATTGTAAACAACAATTGACAAAAAGCCTTAAATCGGTGATTTTCATTTTTACGAAGTGTAAAAAAGAGTAAATTATTCTCACGAAGTGGCAAAAAGTCACCTCGTGAGCAGGGGGCCAGAGGAATTATACATTGGTCAACACGCGGCAGGGTGGGAGCATACACGCGCGCGTGAACGATGTCTAAAAAGAACAGACGCGCGCGCGCTCAACTGTCGTGACGCGCAAAAGTAACAAGTTTGTTGCGTCGGGAAAAAGTACAAATAAGTAAAGCCTCCACGATTCATGATCCCATGAAGTGACAAAAACTGTGTACAAAGTAATTGGCAAAATATGGGAGCCAAAGTATTGATGTTCTCACGAAGTGCAAAAAAGTTTTATTAATGATTTACGTTTAATTACTCACTATTTTTAACAAACAACTATGAATTAACAAAGAGCGAATCATATCCTATCGGACAATGCAAAAATTTTCGAATTCTGTTACTGAAAGTGGTCGAGAATGTCTTTTGAAAAAATGAATAACTTCAAATGCGATTATCTCAGGATTTGGGGCAGGTAGCCCAAATACACCGATGTCGCATAAAAATGCCAAAAATAGTAGAGAAGATTGAGCAGCATCGCAGCAAAATCGATTGGCCGGAAAATTAGATAATAATTGCGGACAGCAAGGAAGCGATGGGTTTTTTTTTTGCATTTTTTTTTTGGGGGGGGGGATTTCCGCCGGCTCCCCAGAATGTGGAAGTGCGAAGAAACAAGAAAGCTTAAGTTTGAAACACGTACTTGAATAAATGCCATAAAGTATCAACTGAATCCGGACACCTTTATTGGGCGATTGGGCACAATCTGATCACCTTTTTTAGAATTGTACGAATAAACCTTTGTTTCTCTCTTTCCGTCTTTCTCTCTTTCTTTTTGATTCCGAACAATAATTCTCCGCGGGTTTTCTTAACGGTTTGTGGTATAAACCTTTCAAGCGATTTTAGTTGAAAAAGTGAGCAACTTCTTTCACTTACAACTCTTGAACAAAATGATCAAGGATGTTCGTATTTTGTAAGCTGACCATTAATTGATAAACATTTCTTTTTGTCGTGTACGTGAAGTAAAAATGCCCTCTAAGATGGTGGCTGTACGCATAAGGGCTATAGAACAGGTTCGCAATTACGGTGCCGTAGACCTGCGCAGATTGGGTTTAGGTGAAATGCAAAGCCTGAAAGTAAAAGGTGCAAAACCACTTGGAGATAGGTACAAAAGAATTTCATTTACGACCTTTCACATCCGGCGTTTTTGGGATGTACACATTACACATTATTCATTGTGCCATTCACTTTAATGTACGACTTTAATTAACTTAATGTACGACTAGGTTTACAGTATGTTCCCGGCGGTCACGGCAGCCCCGTTGGCCCGAAACGTAGTGCGCCGTGGGATTTTGGCATTTTTTTCTCGGTAGTCAAGTTTTGTTAGGTCCTGCTAAGTTTTCTCACGGTCTGTCACGGTATCTGTGATGGGCCGTGGGGGAAAGGGGGCTGCCGAGTCCCGGAGGCTCAAAGGCGCACTACTGTTCGGCCCGCTGTCTACCACAGATGCCAGTACGTTCCCTCCCGGCCTGTCACGTTCTGATGGGGTCCCTCAGGGGTCATTCACGTTCTTCACGTTCTAATCAAAATCTGACACGTTTTTCGCGTTCTGTCAAGGCTTTCTACGGAGGAAATGTGTGCGCCCAAGGGCGGATCCAGGGGGGGGGGGCCAAAGGGGGACATGCCCCCCCCCCCCCCCAACGAAACCAATTTTGTTTTTATGTGACATCGCAATAATGGCAGGCAATGAGTACACCACTATCTTTTCCTCAAAAAAACATTGGTTAGAGTGGTCAGAAATTGCCTCAGATCGCGCCACAGAGCATCTAGAATCCAAAAAAGTTTCGGAGCCCTTAAGCGGGCCCCGAACCCCACGCCGTAATTTTTTTGACCCACTTTTTTGGGGGACCAAATTTTTTTTGGGCCCCCCCCCCCCCAAATTGTGTTCTGGATCCGCCCTTGTGTACGCCAGGCAGCTTCGGAACACGTTTGTGCCCACGATACGAAAAGAAGGCCTCCCAAGCAATAGCAATCATTGTATGCTTTTATACTCCCTCCCAGACCGCGCTCGCCGTACCAGACCGCGCTCGCCATACCAGACCGTAGTAGCAACGCGCTACATCGCACCGGGCCTGTAAACCGTCACACATCTGGACGCACCGTGATTGACGAAATTGACGTGATTGACGCGACGAAACGGCTACCGTACACCCCAGCTTGCCGTTAGAAACGAAGCAAAACGGACGCCCAGCAATCGTGACAAAATGCCCGCTAAATTTGGCAAATTAAAACGTGACCAAAACTTGATAGGACTGTGAGATGCCAGGGGATTCACACGATTCCCATCCCACTGCGGACCGTCTCCAAGTTTTGTTACAGCCTATCACGTACTTTCACGTTTTGTTGCGTTCACCCCGTTTTACTACGGCCTTCTAGGTTTCTCATCCGCACCGTGACTGCCGTGGCAAATTTTTTGACAGTAAAATATCTGCACCGACATCCACGGCAATCACGGACTGTCACGTTTGCCCATCTCGTCCCCTCGCGTTGTCTCACGTCCAAACCGTTTTGTCCACGGGGGCCAGAAACGTGATTGCCGTGGCCGCCGGGTACATAGAGTGAAACCTAGCTTACCTGTTCAACCTGTTGGTTTTCGAAGTAGACGAAACCTGAAGTGCTGAGGTTTTGACTGTTGGCATCACGCAGTTCACAGGATGTAGCATTTACCCCGAAGGAACGACAGGTGGCTTGCTTGATGCAGGCCGCGGCGCATCCATAATAGACAGACGGGGGCACGTAGGGATACGTGTCAGTGGGGATGGTCAAGGGACGAAACTTGGCCAGAACGCGCGCACCCGACACAGCCGTCACGCAGAAAAGCCACAGCACGATAACTATATATGACAAAAACCAGGAGAAAAAGGCGGTATTAGCAACACATTAGTTTACATAACACCACTATAGTTAAGCCGGTATATATCCATAATATGCTCATCCGAGACATTCCATAAAATAGATGTCTTTCTAGATTCCGCTATTAACGAAGAAACTATGTAACAGATAAACACTTAGCGCACTCATCACTTTGGGGGTTTTCGAATCCAGAGTGAACTACGCACATATATTGAAATAATACATTTGAAAGAAATTCTCAAAAAAAAATGCACCATGTCATGGAATATTCTTCTTTACATAAAATAATATTGATCTGATTACTTTAAATTTCGAATTATTTGCGGTCCGACAATAATTCACGTGGCTCTTTTGTGCCCTTTTCAAGGAATTGGAGCCGCCCGAAATAGAAAAAACTGTATAGGCCTAATGTACGTCTGTGAAGCAGGACTTTAAAAAACGTCGAATCTGTTGGAGAGCACTCAGCACGATGAGAACAACTTTTACATTGAAAAAGAAACCGACTCTTATAAAAGGCCTACCTCTGATGGCAGAATCCATTTCACCAAGCAGCTTGACTGAACAGAGTCACCACCAAAATGCGCCGTGCCAAGATTGGTATAGGCCCGTGTCATATCACGAACCGTTATGCCAGAATATGCTGTCAGCGGTTGTAATGGGTGCCGTCTACGCTTTAGGTATATACCGTACCGGGGCGGTATTTTGTCATAAGAATTAACCAATCGTATCGGCGTAAAATAAAATTATTCATCACACATCATGATTATTCATATCGAGCTTGGCGCCTCTCGATATCATTCCCATACAAATAATTACAGTGCATGGGGGTGCTTCGATATTCTACCAATGAAAATTGCCATAACTTTGGACAAAATAATACAAACCCCCCCCCCCCCCATTTTGTTTCAAATTTGCGTTTCTTTCAGACAAGCATTTTAGAAATTGAATCATTTGAAAAATGTGAATCTTGCTGCATGTATTGTTCCTAGCACTGCAGATGAAATATTGATTTTTGAAATTCTTCCAAATGGGGGCGCTCTTCAATACTGCAAATATTTTATGCCCATTTTCACGGCGCATTGTAACGCATTGTAATGGTTTTTGAGCGGGTTTTCTTTTTTAGGATTTGGGATTGATGTAGGAACTCTCTAACCATTTATTGAAATAATTGCTGACAAAAAAATATCTGTCAAAAAAATCCGTCAGGCCCCCCCCCTAATACGCCGGGTCTTTCTGTCTGTCTGTCTATCCCCGGGAAATTGACCAAAAGTAAAATAGTATTTCATTTTCAGTAAGTTTATGGGGGGAGGGTACCGATGACATTTGGGGAAAATCCATGCGAAGATAACCCCTATAAAAGCGGTCCTTCGGCCCATCGCCATGTTGAAAAAATGATGCCTATATGTACGCTACATTGCACAGTACAGCAATTTAAGGCCAAAATTCCATCCAAATTTCACAGAACTACGATTTGGCAGTCCCGTTCACGGCTTCCACCCTTAATTACAAATCCTCAATTTCATGGCCCCAAAAATGCTCGGCTATAGCAGAAAATATTATTTAGCCGGCGTAGGCAATTTCGTACTTCCGATTCGTCCGTAGCCGATTTTTTTGCGATCATTGTTAACATGTTGAGTATTTTATTTTTAACATTTTGGCGCGAGGTTTAGTTAGGACTGAAAATTTCACACAAGTCTTGGAATTTTATTAAATATCCAATGCCTGAAATGTAAGACGACAATTTTCAATGTGGCAAAATATGACGAAAACGTTCGCAACAGTTATATTCTGAAATCACGTTCCCGTCGACGGGATTTCTCGTGATCGTATGAGAGTGCATCCTTGTTCACAAATTTAAACTTAATGCTCATTTTAATTGACGCCAGATTTCATTTGACTGTAATAATCTGGATCCTTAAAAATCTAAACATCATTCGGATTACGTCAAATCGAATTCGTACTTCCGATTCATCCGTAGCCGATTTTTGCGATCATTGTTAACATTTTGACTATTCATTGCTAACATTTTGACTATTGCGCAACGAAAAAAACTCTTTCTCATTTTTAATTCAGAAATACGTATTTTGAGTAGTGAGACTGTTTCCGCACAGCAATATATGGGCACGTTGAATTACAATTTTTGCCGTGTTTCAGCCAAATTTAAAAATGAGGGCAATGTCATATTTATCAGGCCCAATTTTCTAAAGTAGTTCCATATGTGTCGGCCATCGGCGTCGAATTTTTCGGCCTCGCATTTTTTAGCTCTGGCAGGGATCATTTTGATCGATTTTATTATTGTTATTATTATTGTTATTATTATTAATTATTTCAGGTAATGAAACCAAGGATTCCTCAAAAGCGCCCTAGGCACTGTAGCTCGCAAGCCTGAAGATACCTGTGGAGACAATGAGAAGAAATGACAGTTTTAGAGGTGGGAGGAAAAGCCCGGAAGAATGTTCTGGGGAAAAGCCATGCAAGACTTTCATGCAAGACTTCTTGCAGCTCGGCCACAGCTAGCATTATTGTGCACTCGCACTCGATTTACACCACAAACAAACAAACAAACAAACGCACTAGCACGTTTATGGTGTAAATCGAGGATTTTCTATTGTTCCTCACTATCGATCATTTGTTTATACTCTTCTTCTTTTTTGCAACTGCGCCCATTGGTTTTGTACACGTTTTCTAATTGAGGTCATTCCTCGATTTGACCGTGAGCCTGCATACTGCCAAATTTACCAATGGCATCCCTACATTTTCTCGTGCAAATAGGACCCATTTTTTCGACCCTAATTTTATCAAATCTGCCCTTAGATAATAGCCCAAAAGCTAGGGAGGTGATCCTCGGCTATATTCGCACGATTCCACCGATTTTCAAACTAGACGGTCTCGTTTTTTACAAGAAATTGGGGGGGTCACTTTTTATGCAAATGACTCGCGTAGAAATTTTTGAAACCCTAATCAAAATTGTTGCGCCCGCTGTAGTCTCATTGCGCCATTCTGATATATCGTCTGTCTAGCCCCCCCCCCCACACCACACTGAAAATAATAGTAATTAAATACTGTTTAAAAATGTGCTCGTTTATTTACAAAATTCATGAAGCATAATATCCAAACTGAATGGATGTTTCCAAAATGTCTTTCCCATTTGCAAAAGTTATTTTTAAAAGCCCATCAGCTATAAGAAACACACTCTTGGAAAAAATGGTCCGCGGTTAACTTATTCTTTATGATGGGACTTGCGGTTTTGCCGAAGTCTATTGAGCGTGATCGGCTGACTGATAAGGTTTACGCACAAAACCCCCGGCCAATGAGGTTTCGGATAGAAAGCTGGTCGAACCACTTATTGCGAGAGTGTGCCGGTAATGACTCCTGACATCAAATGCTCGATGATCCTCGAAAACACGCCCAGCAGACAAACACAGACAGAGTCAGACCCTATTCTATTCTCCCTCTTTTGTTTGTACTTTGACTTTTTAGGAAGACCGGCCTCCCATTTATTTTGTGCAAACACCTCAAAAGTGGACCTTCGGTGAAGTTTGGTCAATCATCATAGAGAAAATCGTGGACCCTCTTTTGTTCAAGGTCCACGATCTGCCACACTGCATGCACTTAATCTTCCTTCTGTATGTATAGTTGGGTCCAAAACATAAGTTCCGTGACCATTCTCTGGCTAGGATGGTTTGACGGTGGATTTGACTTTTATGGACCATTTATAAAGAAATTAGCCCCCCGGTCCCTCCCAAATATCCCGGCATTTTTCGCTAGGGGGCCAAATCCAAGATGGCCGCCGGCGCCATCTTGAAAAATTAACTTTTGAACCAGAGCACTTAGAATCATGTTTGAAGACACTTTTTTCAGGTGAGTTGACCATGAGGATTCCGATTCCGACATCAGTTTGACGCTATGACGTCATTTTGACCCAGAGATCCAAGATGACCCCCATTCGATAGAGCAAAAACATAAATTTCAAACGGGAGCACCTAGAATCATGAATGAATACATTATTTTGGCAAAATCGTTGCGCTGATGCAATTTAAGAAGGTCCTGGACCCATCCAGCATAAATGGAGCAAGAACCCCGCAGCCAGACATGATGGTTAATGGTTCTTAAGGAGTGAAGTCCAAATGGGATCGAGGGCCATATCAGCTGGTTTTGAAATGATTAGCACAATGAATTTCTGTCTTGTTTTCACAAAGCACACTTCATTTTCAGGTTTTGTCCCCACTGACTACGGCAATCATCATAATCATCATCACTGCATATTATGTTGGAACCAAATTATTCGCTTTTTAAATATTTTATATCACAAACACTTCTGCTACTTCTTACTGTTATTGTTTCCTCGGATTGGTACGCGCACTGTAATGATGCTGTGGTTTACCTGGTTTGTGATGTGAATTGAGAACATAGCTTACAACAATGTCCACCGTTCCATGTGTCCTCCAGTGTGGTAGTCTTTGCGACAAGGCCAAAGATCCCATTACCTCAATTGAGATGTGGGTTGAAATCAAGAAAAAGGCCCGGTAATGGAGCGGTCAGAACAAGTTTTGAGATGTCCACAAAACTGTCATTTGCAATAAATATCCTGTCGGACAGTGTGTCTGTGATACATTTAAGTTGACCTTTAGAAACACCAAGAAACTAGACAAGAAACTTGAAACAAACCTACAAAAAAAAGAAAAAGAGAGGTTGACGAATGCTATATCTCAGTCTTTGTCTATGTCTGTTGTCTAGTTCTGTTGCCCAGCTGCGGCTTCAGCTGCCAAGGAGCTGCAATCGAGTCTGGGGGCAATGCATCATAAAACAGAATGTTAATGGAGCTGTAACATGAATTAAGCAAAGCACCCAGAATCAAAGCCAATCCTGATTTCGTATGATCACGCATGGCCAGATTTCAAGAGACACACATTAACCATGGAAGATCAGAGCCTGCAAGACAAAATCGACTGTCTGATCGATCCTGCATTATGATCACCCCTATGCGCTTGAGATCAGATATCACCCTCAAATGCCGGTTGAAATTATGTGCGTAGCTATCAGAAAATAAGTGAAGATGACAAACTCTCACGAATGCACTATGCCTTTCTCCATGAGGATCAAACGATCTTCCTTGACCACATCAGAACATTTATCTTTTAGGAACATAAGCTAAGGGCACTTTAGAGCCTCCTCAGAGATGACAGGATAAACCTTCTATGTGTGTATGGCTTCCCAACATCCAGGGTCAAGTCACCCTATTCATGCGAGGACAAGATTGCCTTCCACTCCCACCCTCGAAGGAGACAGAGCGACCTAGACTGTGACGCGTCTGTGGGGGGAGGGTGGTTCTTATGTCGAAGCAGCACTGTCCTCCATCGGTGTCAGCGTAGCAGATAGCAACTGGTGCACAATGTGGCTGATTGGCTTAGGAATGAATAATCAAACTGGTTCCGTAGGCACCGAGGGTCAAGGAGCTAGAGCAGGAGGAGGAGTTCTGCTTGCAATCTGCTTTGCGTGGGAAGAGGGGGTAGATCTGTCCCCGAGCACTCCCCCGATCA